GTGCTACGCGTCTTAAACCGGAAGTACGACCTATATCATTAGCTCGAATGCGCATGTGCTGAAGATTCCAGGCTGTGCCGATTATTAAACGCGAGCCGCTATTTAAAGATTTTAACTCATGACCACAAGTGACGCGATGCCTGGATCAGAAACATACCTAAATCCATATGGACGGATTGCACACTCACTGACATCTCAGGTATGTTCTACACCTGCCGATTTATGTACACGTTCACATACGCACCATTGTATGGGAGTTACTTCTGTAATCCAGATTTGGCGTAAGCATATTATAAGCACGTGCTATTTATAAATTATCTTTAACATGTTTTTTTTCATATAGACAGTTGCAAGTTATTGTTGACGCACAACATGCTGGAGGGCAAAATACTATTCTTCAATTTAGATATATTTATTGTCATTGTACAGTAAGCAATTCAATGAAATTAGTAGTACAGCTTTTCTTAAATAATTTTATAAACAAACAGTCAAAACACATAAGAAGACAGTTTGATTTGCAATAAAATGGCAGCAGGGCGAACAGATGCTGGGCGGGACGATGCTGTGAACTCTGGAAAGACATGCCATGCATCGCCCCGCTGCCGCAGTAGAATTGATTTAGTGCAGTGCTCCACAGCAAAGGGAAATAAGGCAGGCACATTTTTTCTTGCTTTCTGTGTCTGCTACGCTACGCACGCAACAAGATTAAAAACAGGTTTATATAAACTAATGAGTCAAACACAATCTGGCTTTCCATCCATATCAACAGCCACCTCAGTCTTGACCTTATTGATTATGTTAATGAAATATGATGGTTTTATGTATATTTCGAATTTTTGTATAACTTTTGTTCAGCTTTTCTTTAAAAGTGCTCTATTATTGTTACAGGTCCATTTTCTAAGCTACAAGAAAGCAAGATAGTGGTGCGCAGATATCAAAATTTGGGTCTTTGTTGATTTGATATTAATACTGTTACCAATATTTTACATTATCAAATTTTTATTTGATTACTCGATTAGTCGTCAGAATAACTGGTAGATTACTTGATTGCTAAAATAATGTTTACAACAGCCGTGAAGGGGACAATGTAATCAACATGAATACATCACGTAAGTGTACCAGATTTAGCCAAAGAGGTTGTCATCTGTAGTCCCCCAGCAGGCTGATGGAAGAGATTAAAAAACATTCATAATAACATTCATGACAAATTTCAATGTGTAGCCAATAGTGAGGAAAAAAATAAGTACAAGCAGTCAATTTTGAAGGTAATTATCCAAATTATTCCTGTTCATTTTTAACTCTTTAGCTTTACCATTGCCTGCTTCTTGTTCTGCAGGCCTGGTTCTGCAGACTGGATGCCCAGGCCCGGTTCTGGGTCCGGCAGTGCAACAGGCATCCTGCTGCAGGCTGGGTCCAACCCAAACAGAGCAGCTTCATGCAGAAGGTGAGCAATTCTGCTGCTGCTCTGTTTGCTCAGCATGCTAACATTTCAGAGATCCGGCTGGCTGGATCTCTTCATCACCGTCCTCTGCAGACGTAACTTTTCTTCTCCTTCTTCTTCCCCTCAGATGGCGACAGAGCTGTGTGTGCTTATGTGTGTGTGCCACTTTTTAATGAGCATTTTCTAGACAGGTTGATGTGATGAGGACTGGTGCTTTCCTTTCCTCAGAGATGGGAAATGATGGTGGCAACCAAAAATTTCTAATTAGAAAATAAACAAACCAGTAACTCACATGTCTCTTTTAGTTTATCACCTTTAAGATAAAAAGCCAAACTTTTCTGAATTTGTTTTGTATTTCAGGTGGGTTTTTTCCTCCATTGATAGGTTTGTATGCTGTGCACCTCCTCCTGCACCTACACAGTCACTTTCTCTGATGCATATCCCCACCAGACATTCTCCAATGAGAAGAGACATCGCCACTGGGTTTTTGATCGTTTTTAGATTCCAGCAGCAGGGCTTTTACGTGCTGTTCCATCTGTACTGCAGGGGGAGGATATTCGGACATTGTTTTCATAGAAGAATTGAAAACTCTTTTCAACATTTTAGTGATTTATTGTTCTCAACCTGGAGGGCAAACCTCCTCCGGGTGGAAATGATGACTTTTTTAGGTCACAGTAAGATTAAAGGGATAATGATGGGACAAAACCAACAATAAAACTATTTTCTTTCTCTCTGCCGGCAATTATAAAACCTGTATCAAAATAATCTTTCCCAATCATGTCTCATAACATAGTAGGAATGAATGTTGGTATTTCTGATCCTCATTGTCGTGTCTGTATTTCACTTGTTTTTTTCCTTTTTCTGTGTTGTACGTGGGGAGTGCGTTCTTGGCTGGAGCAAATAGGCAGAGATAGTGGAGACTCCAGCCAATGACAGTTTAGAATGTGGCTAAAAAATGAAGCAGTTAATTAAATCTGTCTCAGAAATACTCAGAAAGTTTTTGGCAGGAATCTCAGATGAAATCTTCTGAGCCATAATCTTTGCAAAGAATTGTGGATGTTTGTGTGTTTTAGACAATAGCTCCTGTGAAGCAATCAGTAATTATGTTTAACTGCTCTGAATTAGTTTTGTTGTTGTTTTTTCAGAGACAGGCAGCAGTTAGCCACTGCAGCGTTTGATGCCAAATGGGAACTCTGAGATTCTTTAAAGGAAACAAGAAGTGACTAGAAGATACATTTTCTTTTTAAAAAATGTCCAGTTTCCTAAGTAGTTTTGGTTGAAATTTACCATATCAAAATCAAAATGAATTCAGACTTCCTAGAGTGTTTGCAGCATGAAGACAACCCTGGTCCTCCCAAAAGGAATAAGTTCCTCTTTGAAAACTGTACTTAAATACAGCCTATGAGAGTCCAAGTTGTAAAATATTTCTTAGCTGAATAAATAAAATAACACGTACAAGTCTGCCGCCGTTTTTGTCACTCCAGTCTTCAACGCAAAAAGAGCTCTTGCACTGTGTAGCATGAGATTAAGCAATTTAAAGACATGCATCAACTATCCAGTAGGGGGCTCAGTTTTTTGTTTTTTTTCAGGCAGTGTTTCTCCTTATTCCAGTTTAACAAAAGTTAGCCACTCCATGGTGTGTCATCATTTTATTAAACTTTTGTTCAATTCTGAATGGTTTTAATAAAAGTTCGTAATAGTTCTCAAGCTCTTTTGCATGTACTTTTCTTCTGATGTCAGTCCAGATTCCAGGTTCAGTTGTATTTACCTCCTTTAAGTCAACAATTTGTTCTCTATTGTATAAAATACATTCAAGTTTGTGGTTGTAATGTTGTAAAATGTGACAAACTAGTCTCACAAATAACTTTAGCTGTCATTTTTATTTTGATACACTTCTCATCTATATTAAGGTTTTGCCTGCAAATTCATACCGGTGATGAGCAAGTCGATACATTTTAGCCAACACTAGAAGTAAAAAGGATGATTTACTTTTTAGAATAAATACCTTCACAAAATATCATTTGTACTGTCAGAGGCAAAATGGTGATCTGACCCACTGATCAGTGCAACTCAGGAAGTTTCTACTCACTTAGCCGAAACTTCTGCAATCCCACCTCAAAAAGAGCAGCGTCTTAGATTCCCAGACTTCCAAAGGACTGCAGCTCGCTTCTTATATAACATAATTAGAGAAAAGCAAGCTGACGAGAAACAGTTGGAGGAGTTGGGTGTGCAGTTTGAAAAATCAGCAGCTGCATCTCCTCCTTCACCCAGGTTAAATTAGATCAGAAGACACTTTGATATTTCAGCATGGTAACAGAGCTGCTCTCCGAAAGGGGAGCTTGCAAAATAAAGCAAGCATGCTGGATTTTATATGTTGTGTTCATTTTGATTGCAGATGCATTGTCCTGTGTAGATTATAAAACTGCTAATTGTTCCCACAAATGCATAATTTCCCCTTTCAATCTGAGCCTTGCAGGTACTCCTGCTATAATATGTACAGCAGTGGAAGATTAGCTGTGCAGTAATGATTATTATACAGTGGGTGGTTCCAGCAAAGCAATCTTATAGCATAAATTTTAATTTGTTTAATGCCTGAAGTAAACCCACACTCAGTACCGATTAGTCTTAAATACAATTCTCCACCAGAGGTGCTATACAAGAGAAAAGTGATTTAAATGGAAATTTGCTTATTCCAGTTTATGCATGAGACTGATGATTAGAATTTAATTTCAAAGTTAACAGGTATTTTAAAAAAGGCTCCACCGGGGACTTAGTCAATCAGAAAGGGAACTGAGAACAAATCCATTTCCACTTGAGCTGTGAAAAAAGAAGAGACTGTGACATTGGATATATGTGATTAGATTAATAAACTGTTTCGACACAGTAAATTATCGATTCTGCTTTCAAATTGAGCGGCACACATGCTCAGGAAGGAAGAGGATAAAAATGCAAGTCTGATTACTGAGTCAAATAGCAGGAGAAAGACGGCAAACACAAAACTAAACAGTAATAAAATGAAAAGGTTTTCACAGCATCAGGATGGCTCTAATATGAGCTTGAAAGGCAGAAGACGACACAAGAATCAGGTTGGAACTCTAACTCCGACAATAAAAGTTATTGAGTTTCCAGAAATTCTTCAGCGACTGCTGCTCTGCTCCCAGGATAATTTCATTATATAATATTTTCCTGCTTTTGTACTTAGAGGCTTTGCTCACTGAAAAATGACTCTGCTCCTATGAGATCACACTGCCCCCTATTGATCTAGGATGGGAACAGCAAAACACTTTGTGGTCTCTAAATTCCTATGGTGGGATATATAATTGGCCTACGGTGGGATATATTTCATCAATCTCTACATGTGTAAAAAATATATCAAACTCCCATAAAGATAAATTGCAAAGTTATACAAATCAATGGAAAGTCATGCACAGACTCACAGATGCTGTCAATCACAGCATTTTAAAAACTGGATTCAAACACTTTTTAAAGTCACTGTGGGAGAAACTAGTCATGAATCACAACAGCTGTTGCATTATTATATGACAGAAATGACAAATATGGAATTTTTGAACTTTTTCCACATTTTTTTTTGCAATATACTGCAAATTTTAAAATATTTTGCAGAGATTACATGTGATAAACTAATATAACATAGAGCATAATATAAATGTAGAATTAAAAACATGCACAATACATTATTTTTAAATAAAAAATGAAGAGTGTGGTGTAGCTTTAATGTGATTCACCTAAATAAAATCCACTGACACTTAATTTTTTTTCAGAAGTCAACCAGAAAGAGTCCGCCTGTGTATATTTCTATATTACAGTACAAGTCCAGCTATTCAGTGAAAACCTCACAGGACTGTTGGAGAACATTATAGAACATCAAAGGCTTTAAACTTCTCACAGAGAGCTGTTCAATTAATCATATCAAATAGAAAAGCATATGGCACAATGGCCCCCATCTCAAGTTAGCAAAAGACCTGAGACTTGATTCATTGTTCAGTAAACTTGAGCTAACGTGGCTTACATTGTTTTTTAAATGGCAAGGTCAAAGTTAAAATGAAAATATAATTTTCAGTAAGACTCCTTTAGTTATTTTGGTCAAAAATATAAAAATAAATATATAAAAGCACACCACACTTTTAAGATTTTTAGTTGCTGATAAATATAGATATTTCTCTTTCCACATCACAATTATGCACTGATTTGTGTTGGGAGTGTTAACATTTGGAGTTGCAAAGTGATAAAATGTGCAAAAGCTTAAAAGGTTTTCACGAAGCACTCTGTAGTCACCTTCAGAAGAGGTTTATAAATACCACATCCTATGAGATTTGGTTTTAATTTAAAGCCTCTGCTTGGGGTTTAATAAGACACAGAATTATGTAACCTCCCACTGTCACATCTCTATCCAGACATTTTGTCTCTGAAAAATATAGTCACCTCTAAATTAAAACACACTGTGACGTTGATTGAGTTGGCCTTGTTCCTGTTATCTTGATGTTTTTCACCTCAACGATGAGAAAAGAACATCATGTTTTTGAGCTATTCACGCCGGCTTAGCAATGACGGTCAAACTCGGGGCACTTCCCTGTTCCCACCTCTTCTTCAGCACTTTCTTTCATCTCCAATAATGTGAAGTCTCTCCCTCTGGAAATGATGCACTGGTGCTTTTCAAGGCAGGCAAGGGTGAAATCTGTCATCTGTGGGGCTCAAAATAGGAAAAGCTTGCCTTGGGAGGAGGGGGAAAAAAGACAAAAAGAAACATGTATTTTTAAAATAACTAAATAATGGATGTTCAGTCTACTTTTTCAGCTATTTTAAATCAAGGAGGCAATAAAAATGATGAAGAAAATCTGCTAAAGTTAATGAAGCCTTAGATGTGTTCGTTTGCATGAGCTGGCCTTTGTCTCCCTCCAGTGGCCGGCAGCAGATGCATCGAGATTTTCGTTCATTTTAATGTAAGCTGGGCAGGAAATGGACCAATCAGCCTGGATAGTGATTCCAGCAGCATTTTGATGGCCAGTTTTCCAGTCACTCCTCTCTTATATGCATTATAGGAGGTCGATGGATAAGTGCAACAATTACAGGAAGCATCTGCTGATCTGTTTATGTTTCCTTACTTTGCATAGGCAGTAAATGCTTCTAGTTGGGCAGGAATAATGACATTTTTAAACATGCCATACTGCAGTGTCATCATTTGCAAATAGGAACATTATGTCAGATTTAAATAGACTTACTTAGTTTGATTGAATTCATAATGCATATGTCTTTAGAATTTTTGTGTTAAATTATGTTATGTTAAGCAGGAATTGGTGGCATTGGTAAGACAATTGAATGCATTTGAATAAAGGTTTTGTATGATTAAATTATCACAACATTTTGGAACAAGCAAGTTTTTAAATCTTGTAACATGAACGCCCTCAGAGCGTTAGCTACGACCCGATAAGAAAGATAAGGGATAAAACACGCGATGCTTTCTGAACCATTTTTACTCAAAGTGAGAGTAAAAAGCCAGAGTTGGCTGGAATCAATCCAGTGTTTTTTCTGGGTAACAATCCAATTCCAGGACATCCTAGTTATTATGCTTGATAGGACAAAGATTGAGCAATTTAATAAAAGTTTTAGAGAAATGATTAGAGTGATCAAGATGAGGTTTTCAAATGTATGAATAAACAAGTATGCAAGTTTGTTTCAATACATTGTGAATTTTCTCTAACTGGGTCAAATGTTTACTGACAGCCTAATATGTGAATAACTCTCTGAGGACACAGGGACAAACAGCTTTCTGCCATGTCTGTTGCTGGATACTTGACCACATTTCTTATTAAAAATGGTTGGTTTTCTGAAATGGAACTGGTATTTAAGTGCAGTCTATACATTTTTTAAATGTGGTTGTAACTAGGGCCCTTTCAGAAACTTAATGTATCTTGTTTTATCTATTGTAAAATCTATAATGTTTTCATGTGTGACTGGGATCGAAGTCTTTCAGGAACATTCATTTACGCATTACTGTGTTACGAAGTTAAAATATTTAGATGTAATCCTCCATCTTCATTATTCTACCCATTCTGTGCAAAGCACCTGGACCTCTAGGAGTGAAAAACACCTCAGCATGACACTATCAGCACCATGCTTAGTGTCTTTAGGTTGAAAAACCATCTTGACTCCTCCAAACATTATTTTTGTGGACAAATTGCTCAGTCTTTGTCTCCAGAAGATCCAACTAATTCAAAACTGACTTAATTTGGTTTTTCTATAACTTCCAGTTTACTATCAGCTTGAGTCGTTGTAGTTCTTGTGTTGTTCTTGAACATCCTACCTAAGCTCCTTTCATCGAACAACATGAAGATACATGGGTGCTCAGGGGACTCTCCAAAACTCACATTAGAAATGATTGTGGAATGGATAAATCACACTAACCAAGGTTCTGGAAAGCTCTTTTTGAAGAATTA